GATTGGCAGTCACGCGACCTTAGTTAGCTGTTCTTAATGCTTTCCCAACACTATCATGTATTCTATTTAAGTTATAACATAGTTGGAACACTCGTCAAACCTTTATTTTGTTAATATAGAGCTTGAAATGTCCCCTGTAACAATTCATAACTGCCAACTCTCATCAACTCTCGTCCTCCTTTGACCGGGGCTTTAGTCAATGGAATTATCGATATACAGACTAATGATTTCATCAATTTTGAACAGTGAGTTTCATTACTTGGATATTGTGAACAGTAAGATTTATAACAAAGATGGCGTGATTGTCATGATTGAAAATGTTCTACCAGCTTCGCACGTCACAAATTGATTTCATTTACATATCAAACAAACTAAAATCTCTCAAGAATGCAAAGAGATAAAGCTGAAAATAACTTACTTTATAGTTGAATGACCTCTTTCTTTTCTAAACAGACTTGAATTTCATTGACATTGCCCTTGTGATTACAAACTGATATAATATATTAGTTTATTGGAACAACTTTTAGCAAGTCTGGTCTATATATTATGTTTTTGTCCAAAGAAAGAAAATGAATAATTTTATAGTCAATCTATAACTACATTATTAATGTTATTTACGTATTCAAACATGTAATTATTTTTCTAGTGATTTTTACTAAGCAATATTGATATTAGATGGGTTAATCATCGATTGTAGTTCGGATTTTCAATGAAAAATGTATTAAATCAAATAAAATATAAGGGAATATTGACTTGTTATGTTTTTTATTATAATAAAAATATATTGATGATATATAATATTGATGATATATAATATTGATGATATATTGATGATAGTTAAATAGACTATATTGATGATAGATAAATAGACTATATTTTGCGAGTATCCAGTTATTTCAAGATATAGAGATCAGCTTTTAAAGAGCACTTGAATTGCGCGGGAAAACTGCGACACTCGAGAATCAACATGGCTGCCCAACCATCACAACAAGAAGTTTTAGGTAGGTTTTGGGCTATGTATTAGTCTTTTTAGACAAGATGTACTAGTGAAATGACACTTCAGAGATTGTTTTATGACTTAGCATTGAAATATTATATTCTTGTCTCAGATGTGCCTTATGAACAGACATTTTTAACTTATTTGGGTTCGCTACCTGAGGTACTGTATATTAAAATATTTAAATATAAAATTATGTTTATATATTGTTGTCTAGATAGGTTTGTTTTAAAATATACTTTGTATTGTACATAATTCGGGCTATTATGTACTTCTGTGTCTAATATTTCGCTGCACCATTTGCAGTCGGGCCCCACTCTCCAGCATTACATGCTGACTGAAATCTACCAATATTAAACACGTGTGTGTATAAGCTGTGTATGCAGTATGTTATAAGTAAATGTTACATATTACAAACACACTAGTGGTGTGTAATATTGAAATGTAAATTTTTCATTTGTTGTATTTATGTTAGAAACTACCTCAACCTGACTCCCAGTCTCCCACAGTCCCATGTTTGAGATTAGAGAGTTTATGTTCGACTTCCAATACCAATACCGATACTTATGTTTTCACTTCCGTTCTCATTTTGGTACCGGAAATTTTAAAGCATTAAGTTATCACGACAGATAAAGTATACAGACATTAATCATCACCGAAAATGTGCGGTATACTAAAAGGCAGCTGAGCTAAAATTTCGACAAAAACATAACTCGGGCGATGCTAATAAACAAATAGTTTACATGTTTATCGTAGAAATTATGAAATATCCGATTTATATGAGTTTATCTTACAATTCCCCCGACTTCCAATACAAGGCCGACTTCGGTAGTGGTGACTTCCAATACACTTGTGCTTCTTGCGAGCACAGAGCATGCGCATGACATGTTGTTAGGATTGGTATTGGTATCGGAAGTCGAACTTACACTCTCTAATAGGCTTTCGGCTGATGCAATATATATCAATATTTTTGTTAAATATCGATATTTCATAAATATATCGATATTCGGTTTTCTAATTTGTAAAATTTGATGTAGTCTATATTATAATTTGATATATTTTTTTTTTATATCAATTTTTTCCAAGATCACCTCAGCCTATTTGAGATATGTTCGAAATGTACCTATTTGGTAATAGCATCATATTGTTGTCTTTTAGAAATCTGAAACAACAATTCGTGTTTTTGACAGAACTGTAAGTGTCGATGTTGCTTGAATGTAACGTTGGTAGTTTATCATATTCATTAATTGGCTCTCTAACATGATTATTAGCCCTCTAAGTGGCTTTGCCTGGCCTAGGCCTACATTTTGACAGTGTAAACAGACTTTAGCCTTGGCCTGACCTAAGCCAGGAAATCTGGGCCCACTACAACCGGTGGCTTAGGCCTGGCCTAGGCTGGTGGAAATGTAAACACTTTCGACCCTAGCCTGGGCCTTATTTTCATGGCAACGTGTGTCTGCAGTGAGAGATTTACATTGCCAGGCCAAGGCTTGTGGTGTTTAAACACAACTTAAAACACATCCTAGTGCACCCTACTTTGTTATTTTGCCCTGTCTAACACCAAACGATCTTACTCTGTCTAATGCCGGAGGATTTTACTTGTCAGGGGAGAGTGCTGGGACTCAATGGGTTAATCTGTTGCCAATATTTTGTATTTGGACAGGAATTCTATACTATCCATGGAAATGATGCAGTATTTATTGCTAAAGAAATTTTCAAAACCATGAACATTGTCAAACATATTGGATCAGGTGTGTGAATTTTACCTGAAAGATCATTGCTCGTTGTGACATATGATGTTAATAGGCAGTGGTGTATCCTTACTTTTTTGACCACTTGCCCTCAGGGAATGTTGGACATGAAAATTAGTTGCCCTAAATAAAATTCACTTGCCATCAGACAATGGCCACTGGGGTACCTAGGTAGGGGGTATAAATTAAGGAGACAACATGTCGACCCGTTCTCCCACTATATGGCTATGTTATACTGCTTTAGATCTAGCTTTGGCCCACAAAAAACAAAATTTGAATCAAATACATGCACTATAAAACATAACAATGAAAACATAAACTTAAAGATGCCTGGAGCTTTTTGTGGCAAGGCAAACTTGCCCAATGAGCAAGCAAGATAAAATGTTTACTTGCCCATCGTGATATTCACTTGCCCTCTGATAGTCGTCAATCAGGTCAGCATTTGCCGATTTCTGACTGAATTGCAGTCCTGCTTCTATAAACTTGGGTTTTCAGTGTCCGTTTCCGCGGAAAGAAAATTTTGTAAAATGTGATTGGCCGACACAAATTTTCCGTCGGAAAAAAATTTTGAAGTTGAAAATTTTCAACTTTTAACAATAATATTTTCGGAAAATTTTCTGTCCGTGGAAAATTTTCTTGAGTGGAAATGGGCCTTAACTGTGTATCTTGGATATTCAGGGGAGAAGAAAATACCATCAGTTGCATTGAGCAAAGTAAAGTTTGAATCAACAATCAGAGAGCTACTGTTGGTACGACAGTACAGAGTGGAGCTTTACAGGAACAAAGGGGGCAAGGGAGCTCAACAAAACTGGTTCTTCGCTGGAAAGGTATAATTAAATTATGATAATTGAAATTAAAAATAAGTTTGTATGGTGATAATATAAGTTTCTAAGTTTGTATGGTGATAATATAATATATCTTTTAGTATGAATATACATGATGTTTTGAATGTTTTCCAGAAAATAAAATTAAAATGAGGTGGCTGGCTGGCTTAATCTAAATTGCATTCTATTTGCGTTTAGTTGCGTTGCAATTGTACTTCCACTGCATTTTAAATTGAGTTTCCTAGCCAGTGTAGAGGCATTGGGGAGCATTGTTAGTGTATCACTCATCCTCTTTTCCACTCTCTTTCTCCCCCTGGCCTCCCCCCCCCCCCTAACGCCGCTACGCGGGCTATTGCGTTCCTGGCGTTCATAGCTTGTTCTTGATTGCCTTCTAAATTACGTTGCGTTGTATTTCCGTTTCAATCACGATTGCGTTTCAAATGCATCTCAATTTCATCTCCTTTGCGTTTGCAACGCATGTCATTTGCGTTTCAATTGCGTTCCATTTGTGTCTTGATTTCATTTCAGTTGTGTTTTCAACGCGTTTTATTAAATTAGTAGCCTCTACGTAAGCGCATTTCATCATATTTTAATGTAATTTGCGCCATATAAATTGTAATTATTATTATTACTAATTACGTTGCAATTGCGTTCCCCCCATTCTAATTGCGTCCCCCCCCGTTCTAGTTGCGTTTTCCCCGTTTGTAATTGCGTTCCATTTACATTTAAATTGCATTCCATGTATTTTCAATGCGTCCTAAATTGCATTTCAATTCTGAGCATAGCGCTCTAGTTCAAAATGCGTTCTATGTTGAAAAACGCGTTCTATATTGTATGTTTCCGTGGCGAGGCTTGGCAACTAGTCCGCATGTTATGCTAATAAACCTGCGTCTAAATAGGTGACAATAAATTTTCAAAGGTTTGAATAAAACAAATCATTAACTGATTTGCATAGCATGGCTACAGTAGCTTCGCCTCTGGCGTACTTCCATTTGTATTTCAATCGAAGTATTATTTTCGGAAGTTGAATTGGAACAGTACTACATATAGAACTCTTTAGGCTTCACCTGGAAACTTGCAACAATTCGAAGAAATTTTGTTTGGGAATAATGAGATGTCTGCTTCAGTTGCTGTGATGGCTTTCAAACTTTCTGGCGACCCTGCCCAAAAGGTACTGCTATCACACTTTTTCTGACATGTTAACGTTTAGTTTATTCGCCCAATACAAACATATAAGCAGTGAACAATAAAGCTTGAACGACGCTTTACGTTGTTTGTTGTAGATTGTTGGTGCAGCGTATGTTGATGTTGCAGAAAGAAAAATTGCTGTCTGTGAAATCGCTGACAATGACCACTTCTCAAATGTCGAGGTATATTAACTATTAAGGGCAACCAAGGGTGCATTAAACTGCTAACTATTTCTTTCAACTATACGCAGAAATCGAACCTGCATGCGACCCTGCCATTTCGGGGCAGCGCTCTAACGAACTGAACTACATTACAGAGCATTAGCTACAAATTCATGTATATATGATGGTATGATGGCTAGTACACCAGAATCACAGAGCTGCAGGTTCGATACTTGCTAGAAGGCCTACACTAAAAATCTAAATGTATACAAAAATTGCCTTCGAAAATTCCGTGTACAAAACCTTGAACATGGAATCTTCCCATGAAATTTGCTTTTTCAAGGCGTTGTTAGTCCAGTTGGGTCCAAAAGAATGCATCATACAGGCAAACGATCAGTCTTCAGACGCAGGAAACCTAAAAGAAGTTATTCAACGTAGTGGTGTCCTCGTTACAGAAAAGAAGAAAGGTCAGCATTATCAAAGACTCGAGTGCTAGATTGAAACGTAGGATCCAGTGTAGGTAGTATTCTACAATAAGCTGTCGTGGTTTGTGTCCGAACTACCTGAAAAAGATATCTCAAACGTGGTGGTCCAGTGTAGGTAGTATTCTACAATAAGCTGTCGTGGTTTGTGTCCGAACTACCTGAAAAAGATATCTCAAACGTGGTGGTCCAGTGTAGGTAGTATTCTACAATAAGCTGCCGTGGTTTGTGTCTGAACTACCTGAAAAAGATATCTCAAACGTGGTGGTCCAGTGTAGATAGTATTATACAATAAGCTGCCGTGGTTTGTGTCTGAACTACCTGAAAAAGATATCTCAAACGTGGTGGTCCAGTGTAGGTAGTGTTCTACAATAAGCTGTCGTGGTTTGTGTCTGAACTACCTGAAAAAGATATCTCAAACGTGGTGGTCCAGTGTAGGTAGTATTCTACAATAAGCTGCCGTGGTTTGTGTCTGAACTACCTGAAAAAGATATCTCAAACGTGGTGGTCCAGTGTAGGTAGTATTCTACAATGAGCTGTCGTGGTTTGTGTCTGAACTACCTGAAAAAGATATCTCAAACGTGGTGTTCCAGTGTAGGTAGTATTCTACAATAATCTGTCGTGGTTTGTGTCTGAACTACCTGAAAAAGATATCTCAAACGTGGTGGTTCAGTGTAGGTAGTATTCTACAATAAGCTGTCGTGGTTTGTGTCTGAACTACCTGAAAAAGATATGGTGGTCCAGTGTAGGTAGTATTCTACAATAAGCTGTCGTGGTTTGTGTCTGAACTATCTGAAAAAGATATCTCAAACGTGGTGGTCCAGTGTAGGTAGTATTCTACAATAAGCTGCCGTGGTTTGTGTCTGAACTACCTGAAAAAGATATCTCAAACGTGGTGGTTCAGTGTAGGTAGTATTTTACAATAAGCTGTTGTGGTTTGTGTCTGAATTATTTGAAAAAGATATCTCAAACGTGGTGGTCCAGTGTAGGTAGTATTCTACAATAAGCTGTTGTGGTTTGTGTCTGAACTACCTGAAAAAGATATCTCAAACATGGTGGTCCAGTGTAGGTAGTATTCTACAATAAGCTGTTGTGGTTTGTGTCTGAACTACCTGAAACCATGGCAAGATAGAATGCTAAGTGTATTTTGTTTTTCATTTTCCAGTTGCAGAGTTTATCAACAAAATATGTTTAATAAAAGAACATGCAGCGACACAACTGCTCCAGGCTGTTGAGACGTTTAGAAAGAAAGGAAATGAAATAAAGAAAGAAAGGTAGGAGAAGCTTTTTTATACTATATAACCTTCCATATATTCACATTTGTTAGTTTTATATTTTTTATCAGGGCTCCACTGAAAATCACTTTTGTGAGTGGACCCCCTGATAGGCTTGGGCGGTTTTGCTTAAAATCAAAACCGAAAAACCGTCTGATTCTAAACCGGTAAAACCGAAAAACCGGTTTTTTCCCTTTAATTTGTATTTCAACTGTATGAGGAGGAATTGTGGTATTTTTCTGTCATAAGCAAACGAACAGTACATGACAAAACGCAAAATTGTGCAAAGGTAACCTAAAACGACTTCAGTTTTAAAATAAAAGGGTCAAGAATGCATTTGAAAACTTGTATCTCTTCAGTTCTTACCGACTTTATGGAAAAAGAATAGAATTTGTATCTAGTGTCATGTAATTGAGTTTGATTGGTGTCATGTTTTGAGAATTAAGATCGAGTTTCAGGCGATGACAGTAAACAATTACGTAATGACGGTTTTTGTAAAAGCTAAACCGAAAAAACCGGTTTGAAAATAAAACCGAAAAACCGGTAAACCACCCAAGCCTACCCCCTGACTAAATTTGTAATTATTATCGTAATAATTATTATTATTAAGCTGCCTGTGAGGTGCCTGTAAAGGCCACTCTGTATTAGAATTTAGTTTCCCGTCTTCCGCCCACGTCTCCCAGAACTGGTTGCATTATTTGTCCATATTGCTAACCATGAGCAGATTTACCGGGGGGGGG